CTTTGTACGGATTAGTTTTAAGGCTTATTCAGGGTTTTCCTTTCTGAGGACAGCGGACAACCCAGGCAGATGATGCCGAACTGCTTCACTTCGCTGCTGTCTGCTTTTCCAAAAGGCTTCACACTGTCAACAATGTCAGCAGCAGAACTGCTCTTAGGCATGTACATCTTTCAGAGGCTCTCCTAGACACATCATCCTGGATAGAAACTGCATGTTACCACTTCAGCCTCTTTTCTCCTGCATTTTAAACTCTCATCCCTCATCGTGAATTTTATTCCCGAAAAAGCATTTTTTTCCTTCCTCAATGGCAATATTTGCTTCCTCGTTATGTACCCTTTTGTTTTCTCTCTGAAAACCCGGCTTGTCCACAGCCTTGCCTCTGGCAAACAAAGAGACAATATCCTATCAATGGCACAGTATTCACCAGTATTAATCTATAAAACAGAAAAAGAGGAGCTCTGGAGTAGCTGTAGCCTGAGCTACTTGTCAGGGTTTGAATTGCTATAGATTTAAGTGGGCTGAGGGAAGTGGGATATGCTGTGAGGAATATGAGGAGCTATCCCGGCTGTTGGATCACTCCTTTTCTTCCCTTAGGGCTCTCCTTTTAAAGGCCTGATATCATTACTGCTTCTAGTAAAAGATAAGAAAGCCCACACCACTTGGACTGAAGCAGACCCCATAAATACACGTCTGCAGTAAATATATTGTGCTGTCTGGTACATCTGCAGTGTGTCTCAAGCCTTTGCCTTTTAGATCCAAACCAGATTAATTCCTGTGAAACTCAGGGTTGTTAGCTGGTTCCCTTGTGTTCATAAATTAGTGCACTTGCCTCCATGCCTGTCCATCTTAATCTTTATTTTCAACTTGATATAAAGTTGCCCTCTGTACACCATCCAATTAGGTTGCTCTTTGTTTGACCTCCAGCTGTAAGCACAGACAAAACAGTAAAAGGTTACAAGTGTCAAGTCGTCCCTATAGTGATGTTTTGTTTTGGGTCTACTAGGCAGCACAGATTTGCATTCGACTAGAAGAGCCCTGAATATTTAGCATAGATGTTTTTAATCTATTTGGAGCATTTAAAGCTACAGTGTGTAATTTTCAAGTGATGAGGTTTGTTTACATAGATAATTTTACAGATAGTATTTCATTAGTCTGTGTAGGGTATAGATTTCATGTAGACTTTAGATAATAAATATACCCGTTATTTTTTCTACATCGTTGTGACGTTTTGGTGAGCTGCTTTGCATGGTGATATAAACAGACGAAGTAATTGTAGTCATTAGTTTAACAGCGAGATTGTGTTCGCTGGAAGAATATATATTCCCCGTTTACAGAGTCCAAGTCTTGTTTGTGGCACGGGGGTTACAAGGCGAGGAAGAGGGAGAGGAAGAGGGCAGAGAGGCCGGGGTGGGCGTGCAGGTAGGGCCAGGCGAGGGAGAGGTGCCAGCGGGGTGACTAGAGCAGAGGAGGAAAGGCTTGAAGATCTCCAAAGGAGCCGGAGAGAAGTAACCGAGGTATATATCCAGAAAATTAGTTTACAGAAAATTACTGAATCATTACCTGTGAAACGTCAGGGACGTTGCTGAATAAGTATACTGGAGAGTAACAGCATCATCACGCAGCATGTTATTGTTTTAGACAGGTCTGAGCATCCTGTACTCCAAAAACTGCAGTGATATTAGACAATTGTGTGTGTAGGATTAATTACCTGTCCAACAGAAAACTGGCAACTTGAGCGTCACTTTGAAAACCTTTTTCCTCCATCAGTGACTTCCATCGTGTAAATGCCGTGCCAATGTTGATCCGTGTTTTTTGTCGTTTCTTGTCACGCTTGCGTTTATTCTCGTTGTGTTTCCACTTCTTAGATGACGGGGGTTCGGTGTCCGCCACTTTTCGTTGTGGAGGATCATTCGTTGCATGATCCTCCATTCGTCTGATGTTTGGCCAAACAGTTTGCAAAGTCACTCAAGCCTGCCGCCTTGTTCACCTTTCTTGTTACTGAGGCGCAGTATACCTGCTTCTTCTTCTTCTTTGGTTTCAGGCAGACTAAACGCTTCTCAGGCATAATACTGCCATCTACTGTTCAGTACCGTCTCAGTTAATCTCTCTCAACTTGCCGTAGTTATTTTCAAGCGTAATGGGAGATCTCGCAATCGCTAGTTTGTTGCCGCTGCGCTTGCCGTAGCGCAAAGATGTCTGCCTCCATGGCTGCGAGACCCGCTCCTATGTAATTATAAATAACGAATTCTAAGGCAACGCAAATATTATGGTTAAAAGGCTGAGCTCATAGGTGATGATAAATAACATAGTTATGTATAATATATTTAATTTCTGACTTTATATCCCTGTAATTATTACACACTGTAGCTTTAAGTGGTCACAGTGCAGAAAAATAAATTTTTTTAGCAACAAAAATCAAAGACAAAACTTAGCATGCTGAAGTCGATATAATTCATGGTGATGACAGACATCACATTAACAAGATATTTCTAAAATCATGCATCAGTCAGGGTACAATCAGGGGCCCTTTTCAGGGGCCCTCCGATCTGTACAAGTGGAATAGGAGTTTGGTCCACATTACCAACATTAAGTCAGACACACCTGTTCCTGGTGCTTGTTGGACTCCAGCAGGGCTGCTCTATCACAAATCGCCTTTCTGCCCATGTTAGTCTTTGGTGTGCTTGGATGTTGGGCCAATTAGTACGATTTTATAGTTTAGTGTTCTGATAATAGTTTCTAGCATCATACGATACAAATTTATGTATGTGAAAGTATGATTAACATAACATTCTCTTCTGAATGGAGGCTGCTTATCCATCCAAACTGAAACTTTTCATTATTGAATAAAAGTAATTACTCAAGACTATTTTGTATTGATTTGTTACTCTACCCTCTGGAGGCAATCCATCAGTTATAGCTCATAAAGGTTTATCCTGAACTTGGCACCCACCTTCCATGATATATTTGGGTTCCGCTTTTAGAGGTTTTATAAAGCTCAAGACAAACTGGACGACACGGGAGATATTAAGGGAAATTCCCAAGCTTAATTTACAGGAACATTTTTAAATATTTGTTAAAAGGTTTAAGATTTGTTGGAGTTGCACATTTTCTTTAAGCAAAGCAAATAATTTTGAAACACATTTAGGCCTAATAGACATATTTTCCAAATCTGTACTCCACTTTTCTTTTCTTTTTTTTTTCATTAACAGTGATGAGGATAGTGAGAAAACAGCACCCTGGAATCCCCAAGTATCTGTAAGAACTAATACCCATTGTCTTCATACTGGCTAGTTCTTTGGGAGTTATGCCCGAAAAGCTTTTCCTGCACAAAAATCAAATGAAACAACAAATGTGTGGATAAGCTAGTATGATGGAAGATCTATGAAGATGTTTTTCGTCTATAGCTTGATTGCTTCTTTGATATTTAAAAACATTCATTCTTCTTCTCCCGCTTATCTGTCAGGGTCATGGTACCAGTGCCTGTCTCCAGTAGTTTGCGGACGAAAGGCAGGCGGCACCCTGGACCGGTCACCAGTTGCAGGGAAACAGTCACACACAGGGACATACACTCTCACCTAAGGACAATTTAGAGAAGCCAGTTAACCTAACAATTATGTTTTTGGGCTGTTGAACAAAGAGTACCCTGAGAGAACTCATAAATGCTGTAGGAGTCAATAATTTTTTGTTAATAATTAACAGTTTTTTTTGTGGATACTCTGGCTAAGTTTATTCTACTTATTTGATGATATCTGTTTTTAGATCATGTTTTTTGGTTATTTAATTAAGTTTCTTTGTTTCTGGTTAGTTTTGATTAATTTGGTTGAATTAAGATTAAAAATAGGCTGTCAATGGTAGAAACAGCATGCATCTGGGTGGACGTATTTTTTTCTTTTACCGGGGCAAGAGAAGCATGGAGGAAATGGTGGTACTTTTCTGTTTGCTTGCCTGAGGAGAAATAAACTAAGAAAACTGAAGCAGTTTACCTGGAACATTTTTTCTTTTGCCTGCGTAAATTACTTGACCATGGTGCATCTGTGGCCTTTGTGGACTTTTTTTGTGTCATCAAAGCTGGGCCACAACATATTGATTCGGGAGAAAATCCAAACTCCATGCAGAAAGACGATAGCCTAGGAATCGAACCCAAGACCGTCTGGCTACAAGGCAAGTTCTACAAACTCCACCCCCATGCAGGCCTTTGTAAAACCATTTTAAGCAATAAATCTTTCATACAACCGAAAACATGTCATTACTATGTCCTGTGATTCAAAACATATAGTCAAATAAACAGAAATCCGGTGGGAAATCACCTTTTAAAGCCTTAAAAAGGAAGAAGGAATTATTTCCTAATGGGGGTGGCACAAAGTAGTAACAGTAGACAGTTATTACTCCAATGCTTTAGTTGAAAACAATTATTACCTTACATTCCCAAGGGAATAACTTTTCAAATTAAAAGTTTGTTTTAAATTCCTAGTTCAATTTGGTGTCACTACAGTAAAAGATAATTTATTCTAACCTTGGGGTGGCTGACACTGTTTGACTCTAGCCTTCTGCTTTAAGAAGTCAGATGATCTCTTATTTGTATTCTTTCTCTAACTTATCTCTGTGTACCTGCCCTCTTTCAAGCAGCTTTTCTGGAAGACTGATTCTAAGAATCTAATTATGGCAAAAGGTAATTAAGTTAATAGCTCATGGAGGTAACCAACGTGTTCTCAGAAAAACGAGATGGATGCCAGGGGCTAGGAGGGGTGGTGATGATGGCACACCCCCTCCGTGTTGTGATTTGCCTTTTACAAACACCCATCCTCAGGGAGAGGAAGAGAGATGCGGAGGAGAGAGAGTTTGTCCCACATCTTTACAGCTAAAAAGCCACCGAGGAGACAGTCCGCGATGGAGCCGTCTGCAGAGCGCAGAGCGCAGCGCTTCCATACGTGGATCTGAACAGAAAACACGGGATTTTGATTGAAAGCGAACATAAAACTGCAAACGGAGCCTGATAAATAAAAAAAATATAAAAAACCCTGCTGTTGGACATCTTCTGGACTCAAACTTAATTCGAAGCAGTTTTAAAGGTAAGTTAGTTTGCCGGACATTGTGTCTTTTGTGCGTAAAATGTGTTCTATTCGTCTCTTGTCCGTTTGATCAGGAATTTTTTTACTTAAATTGTCAAGAAAAGTCTCAAATGCAAGAGATGAAACATTTTGCAGAAACTGTATAATTAAATTATCTTTATGCAAAATACAAATTAATTATATAAAGATTTAGGCATGCAAAAGTCTGCTTCTATACATTTTATACTATTTTGATATTTAGGTTTTATCCATTTAAAAGCAGTTAAAGCCCCCCCCCCCATAAAACTAGACCCCAAGCCCTGTTTTATTTTAGCCTCTAAATGATCTATTTTCCACTAAATACTAACAGACATTTGTTTATTTTTTAAAGCATATAATTTACCTTTTTTCCCCTCTTCCTTATTTTTAGCTCTACCTAATTGCTGCTCATGCATCAGGTTATTTGACCAAAACTACAATTTGCATACAATCATTCAGTACGTAACTAAAAACCACGAGAATCTGAATCCCTTTTTAGTGGACATTCCTCTTTTTCCCCAATTTTAATCCAGGAATATTAGACAGATCTAGGCCATACTTGAAAGTCTGAGGTTCCAGCCTTTAAGCACATTTTTTCTATTTCCAGTAGAGGGTAGAGACACCTGACAGTTTTGATTTTATTATGGAAACACGGGATACTTGACATTTATCAGGGCATTCTTGCAATCAGATTCAATCATCTCTTGAAACATGAGCTTCAGAAAGTCTAGTTTGTCTCAGGAAAACAAAGTGGCTTTGAAAACATGTTTTTCTCTGGAAAATTGCATTGAAACATCTACAGAGCAAGACAGGCTGAAAACAACAGCGACAGCAGAATACTTACAAATGAAACCTGTTAGATTTGAAATCATACAAGCACCAGGTTCTACATTAATTTATCTCATTATCTTTGCTTTTTTGAAAACTTTTCCCTTCCAACTGCAAGGAAGGTGAGCAGATGGTAGTACCTCCCCATTATTGTCACTTATTGACAGTGTAAATTCACCCAGGATTGATGTTCTTGTTCTTAATAGTCTAACAGGCAATACTTGGGGCATTGATTCTTCTTTCTCTAGCCTTCATCTCTGCAGAGCACATCTAACCCTTAAAGTGTGATTAAGCAGCCCTGCTATCATAGAGGCATAAATAGAAGAGTAAATGAGATGAAAATGTATTGATCTGGATAATATGATCGCTGTTATTCTGGTTCTGAAGGGCAAAACGGAAAGGAGGCCGGGTTGAGTTGAGATAATCGTGTCTGATGATTTGTGTTCTTCTAATGCAGAAATGCAAAATGCTTTGCAACCTTAATAGGCCACTTAGGGTACCATTACAGCTACTGAGGCTGAGATTGAATCAGCAAACCTCTGCAGATAAAGGTGTGGCTGCATCCTTCACAAAATCTGGAGATTAATACTAAATTAACCACCCTTTCGGCAGAGTATCGCTCTTTAAATGCATTTTTGTGTTGTATGGATCTTTAGCTTGATGAATCTTTTGGATATTTGAACTTTTTCTTCTCTGCATAATCCTCTGTAAATATGCTCAGTTTGTTTACATCTGGTTGCAGGTTTTCTTCTCTGTTCTAAAGCCATTTTTCTCAATCTGTCAGGTTCCCTTGTTGCTGCTGCCTGAGTCTGATTGGGAACTGATGTGTGTCATGGGGATATGGTGAGGCGATGTGTACAAGCTTGTATGAGAGAAGATGTCCTGCCATCAGTGGAGGAACAGGAAGAGGGTCAAGTGAAGGGCTGGATATCTACTCATGGCTGTGTATATCACTCCTGTTCTCTGCTTTGTGGGGTCAAGCAACCCCTCAGTGCCCGGACAGCTGCCACTGTGCCTGGGACACGGCCACCGTTCTGTGTTCAGATGCGGGGCTGCGAGAGATCCCAGAAGGGATCCCACCAGAGACTGTTTTCCTACACCTGGAGCGCAACTACATCCGGAACATCCCAGAGGGTGCCTTCAGCCACTTGGTTCACCTGCAGGACCTCTACTTGTCTCACAACCGCATTGACTCTCTCTCCTCAGGGGCTCTGCGGCATCTGGGACCCGACCTGCGGTTGCTGGACCTTTCCCATAACCAGCTGAGGCAGGCCAGTAGGGAGGATTTTGGATCCACTCGTGCCAAAACACGGCTTTACCACAATCCCTGGCACTGTGACTGCACCTTGCAGGAGCTGATGGAGACTCTGTACCTTGAACCTGAGACTGTGAACGGGATCATCTGCGAGAGCTCAGTGCGGGGTGTAGGTGAGGGGGGGCGGTGGGAGGACCCGGGGTCACCAGGGGAGCATGCAGGTCAGCCGTTGGTCAAACTGCTGGATTCAGGGGTAAACTTCTGCAGCCTGCAGAGGAAAACCACAGATGTAGCCATGCTGGTAACCATGTTTGTGTGGTTCTTCATGGTCATCGTGTATGTTGTGTACTATGTTCGACAGAACCAGGCCGAGGCCCGCAGACATTTGGAATATTTGAAGAGTCTACCCAGCCCACATAAGATCCCTACAGAGACAGACACTCTGAGCACTGGTTTCTGAGCAAATGTTTACGCTCAGTAATGCCATCTTTATGGAACGGGACTCTGAAACCCATAGAGGGATTCACACGTGGAGGAAAATAATCATGCCTAATTATTTCTTCGAAATAATTAATTTTCTTATTGCCTTTTTTTTCCCAGTACAAAATTATAAGTTTTTCTTAATTTGTATGATATGCACTTAGAGAATGGCAATACTTTTAAAAGCGCAGCAGAAGGGAAGATAAAACAGGTGTACGCATAAAGAAAGACCGTTTTTGAACATAATAACATTCTGCCTCCCTTTGTAGCCCCTCTGTTCTTCTACCGCCATGTCTTGTATACTGTGCTCTTTTATCTTTCATTAGGTCCTAATTAGGCGAAGTTGACCAGCTGACCCCTAATGAACAGTTGAAAGACACTAATCAATTGGAGTGTGTCTGTCAGGTGTGCAAATTCAGATGCATGTCCTTTGATTTGTCTGTATTTATGTGTGTGTTGGAGTTTGTGTGTTGTGCTCAGGCATCGTCATGGCCATTCTTATTTTGACAGTCCTGATTTAGCAACCGAAACATATTATTTACTTCACATCTGTACTCAGCCTGTGGGTTATCTATTGGACTTACACTATATTGCCAAAAGTATTTGCTCACCCATCCAAATTATTGGAATCAGGTGTTCCAATCACTTCCATGGCCACAGGTGTATAAATTCAAGCACCTAGGCATGCAGACTGTTTTTACAAACATTTGTGAAAGAATGGGTCGCTCTCAGGAGCTCAGTGAATTCCAGCGTGGAACTGTGATAGGATGCCACCTGTGCAACAAATCCAGTCGTGAAATTTCCTCGCTCCTAAATATTCCACAGTCAACTGTCAGCTGTATTATAAGAAAATGGAAGTGTTTGGGAACGACAGCAACTCAGCCACGAAGTGGTAGGCCACGTAAACTGACGGAGCGGGGTCAGCGGATGCTGACGCGCATAGTGCGAAGAGGTCGCCAACTTTCTGCAGAGTCAATCACTACAGACCTCCAAACTTCATGTGGCCTTCAGATTAGCTCAAGAACAGTGCGCAGAGAGCTTCATGGAATGGGTTTCCATGGTCGAGCAGCTGCATCCAAGCCATACATCACCAAGTGCAATGCAAAGCGTCGGATGCGGTGGTGTAAAGCACGCCGCCACTGGACTCTAGAGCAGTGGAGACGCGTTCTCTGGAGTGACGAATCGCGCTTCTCCATCTGGCAATCTGATGGACGGGTCTGGGTTTGGCGGTTGCCAGGAGAACGGTACTTGTCTGACTGCATTGTGCCAAGTGTAAAGTTTGGTGGAGGGGGGATTATGGTGTGAGGTTGTTTTTCAGGAGCTGGGCTTGGCCCCTTAGTTCCAGTGAAAGGAACTCTGAATGCTTCAGCATACCAAGACATTTTGGACAATTCCATGCTCCCAACTTTGTGGGAACAGTTTGGAGCTGGCCCCTTCCTCTTCCAACATGACTGTGCACCAGTGCACAAAGCAAGGTCCATAAAGACATGGATGACAGAGTCTGGTGTGGATGAACTTGACTGGCCTGCACAGAGTCCTGACCTCAACCCGATAGAACACCTTTGGGATGAATTAGAGCGGAGACTGAGAGCCAGGCCTTCTCGTCCAACATCAGTGTGCGACCTCACAAATGCGCTTCTGGAAGAATGGTCAAAAATTCCCATAAACACACTCCTAAACCTTGTGGACAGCCTTCCCAGAAGAGTTGAAGCTGTTCTAGCTGCAAAGGGTGGACCGACGTCATATTGAACCCTATGGATTAGGAACGGGATGTCACTTAAGCTCATATGTGAGTCAAGGCAGGTGAGCAAATACTTTTGGCAATATAGTGTATGTCTCATGAACACTCACATGCAAAAAATAATTTGATATAATGTTTGAATAATTTATTTAAGTATTTTATATACAAAAATAATTTATACATATTTACCAATTATTTTATTTAAATCAGCCTAAGGCTTTTGGCTACAGCACTTAAAGGTATAATGGAGGATTTTCCAGAATTTTGAAGTCTCGCCCTCCACTTTTAAAAAAAAATGCACAGGCTCAATCCTGTACCCACTCTTGAAAGGGAAAGCCTATTAAACGCAGCAAGAGCACAAACAAGGCCATTTCTCCTCGTGCACATCATACAAGCTTACTTTCCAAAAGAAGATGTGCAATTCTTCCACTATGTCAGACTTACTACTGGTAAGTGAAAATGGGGACAAGCACGTAGGATGGCCTTACGTAAACATATCACCAGAATGATTGACGATTAGGAAGACCACTTATTTTGATGATCCACTCAGAAAAACAGCATTCTCCACTATATATTTAAGCTTTTCCACTCAAAGCCAGTGGTTACAGCTGTTACACTGTGTTGACCAGCCTAAGTGACAGTGAGAGGCATTTCATAGTGTTGGCCTACTGCAGAAAATACAGCATGAATTACATTTATAAGTACAGAAATAGTTAAATAAAAGTTCAACATCCCTCCAAATTCAAATGAATGTATTTGGATTGATATGATTCAGTTTAATTGAGTTTATTAATGTTGTGCAATTTCAAAACACATCATCAAAGCATTTTACAGAGAAAATTCAAGGCTTCTACAAAATTCTGCATTTAGTAAGATTTGGAAATCTCTAAAGAGTGTAAATCAATAGGTGCAAATTGGATTTATTCGTGTCCTGCTTTGCTTTGATTATGAAATGTATGAATATTTTATATTTATGTTACTTTTTGGAACTATTGGTTCTCCACAGTTTAAGTCCTTCACATGTTATATGAAAACTGACTATTTTTAACACCACACCAAAAAAACCCCAAAACAAATCATTTGTCATTAAGGGAACTATTGATTTTCTTTTTTTTAACTCGCCATGTAAAATCTGATGAATTTCTTCTTCTTGACACATTACGGTAAATGAAACCCCCACTGGATTGAAAACCAGGTTTGATTGATTTTTCAAGAGGGTGTTGTAATCCTGTTTATTGTGCAAATGTGTCCTTAAAATGGGTAGGTTAGTATTTTATGTAAGACTTGTATCTAAATATGATATAATTCTTCTCTTCTGCAAGAAGAAATGTAAAAAATGTTTCCCACTGTTTAAATACAAGCTAAGCTTTTGTTCCCCACATCGTCTGAGACTTTATTCAGGTGATCGAAGCAAACAAATGTTTTTTTCCCCCCAGCTTTTTATTGTCATTACACCGTCACAAGTACAGAGCAACAAAATGAACTCTCTGCATTTATCCCATCCCCTTTGGGAGCAGTGGGCTGCCATTGTGGGGCCCCCGGGGAGCATTGGGGGGTTAAGGGTCTTTGCTCAGGGACCCAGAGTGGCAGTCTGTGGGAGTGGGGCTCGAACTCAGAACCTCAGGATTCCAAGCTCTATGCCCTAACCACTAGACCGCCACTCCCAAAATGATGTTCATCTTTGTTTTTGTAACTGACCTGTTATTTCTCTTATCACCTCTGTATTAATGTCACAACAAGAGATGTTCTTTGAAAGATTACCTTGGTCAAAAACATTTATGAACAGAAAAAACGAAAGAACCAAATAGTTTTTATTGCATGTACTGTCTCTTTTTGGACATTCAAATAGCAATCATCAGTAAAAAAAAAGTTTAGAAAGATAAAAAGCAAGAATCCATAAAAGTTATTATGGAAAATTAGCACTCAATGCAATGAGAAACAAAATAAATTTTTTGTAAGTGTAGTGTTGCGTCAGTTATTTTTTTTTTTTTTATAGAACTGTAATTTTTTGTGTCGATCTGTTGTAAGCATGGGGCAGTTGGACAAGGATATCAAGTAATTTGAATGAGAGGCCAGAAAAGTTTTTTTTTTCTCCAAAGTCTCCATACCTCATCTGCTGCTGCACACTGCCGGACAACGAGCTTAAAGTAGGCTACTATGCTTTTTAGTGTTCTTAAAAAAAGGCTTTTAAAAAAAATATTTATAATAAACAAAAACCAATAAACATTGCTATGGGAAAAAGAAGTTTCATCATCACTTTATTTCAAACTTAGTCCTGGTGATGATGTGTCTGTCAAGCAGAAGCTGAAGGCTGGAATACATGAAACCTAATGTTCCAGTAATAAAAGTGTGCAAATAAAGAAATGGATCAGTTTTTAATTTTCATTTTTCTTATTTCTGGAAAGGATGTGTAATTTTATGTATATATATGTATATATTTCTATACATCTGTTACATAGATTACCTTTGTTTTACTTGGTGAAATAAAGAGTAAACAGAGGTCTAAATGGATTGATTTTTTGTTTAACATTCTGTTCTTATCTTGTGTACAAATTTCTTGGTCAAGCTGCTATAATTGTACCTGAGTTTTGTTAAATATGGATCCATTTTATGTGCAGAAGCTGAAATTAGAGTAGGTCAGACACTGTGTATTAAACTTAGCCATTATCGTGTAGCTAAAGCTTTAAGATAGTAGTAATGTGCGTCTTTACTGTTATTTACAAAATATACTTCTAAATTTCAAGAAAAATACTAATCAGTATTATCCCAAAGTCTAATTATTTATAACCCAAATGTAAAAAATGTCAACTTTTTGTAAGCCTGAACCGTTTTTTATTTTATTGGTGTTAAGTTTATCTTTAAATCATTTCTTTATTTTCATGTTTAGCTGAAAAAAACTATTTAAATATGAAAAGTAATACAACAAAACTAAAAAGTATAATCAATATTTTTCTATCCAGTGTATTTTCTACAAGAACTTTGATTAGGCCATGTTATTATATTATTATGATTAAATCTATCTAATTGAATGTGTGCAGTTAGGGTAAAACTCCCACTCATACTCCTGGCTGATGCAAATAAAAAGGTTATTTTCATACAATCAGAAAGTTACACAATCTTCCCTCAATGATATGCTCAGGTAAAGATGTGTTATTTCTAAAGTAAAGCTCTGATTTCACACAAGAAATAGAATAATAAATAATCAAATAAAAAATGTTTATTTGGTTTAAAGGAATAAAATAACTCCTATATTTGTTGATAAGCTTTTATTTATTATTTGCTTGTATTTCTTCCCAATAATTCTTTGCAGCAAATCCCAAGTTAGGCAGATTTCAGTCACATCACCCTTCGAGGTCCCTCCATAGATTCTCCACTGGAATCATAACACTGACATTACTTCCAGCCAGAAGAAGGATGTCAGTCCAATCATTACTTTTTATATAATCATGCCTTGGATATAAATAGAGTGTAACTGTTAATCACAAAATTCAATAAAACTCCACCAGTCCAGTACTTGGTTTTTGGCATTTATTTCCAATTTACATTAATTTAAACTTAACAAAAACAAGTCAAGACCATAGTAATAATAATATACTAATAATGCTATTATTATTAATAATAATTCTATTATTAATAATAAAGAATATACACAACCTCACACATTTGAACCCTCTGCAGTGGAGCATCGGTGAAATACATCCCAGATCATGTGTGTGTTTCTACTTTGATGCAGAGGGTGTGTGCTGTGTAAGGGGACCGAAAGGGGTGGGGGTAGGGTTATGGGTCACATTGGATTAGCAGACTGGTCTCACATATCCAAAATATACCTAGAATGA